GGTACCTCTTTGCTGACCAATATCTTCAGCCTTCTTCAGAAGCTTGCTTTGGTCTCTTCCTGTCCCTCCCTTACAACACTTTTCAGGATTATCTTTTTAAAATACAGACTTGATCATGTTACTACCTTGCTCTGGGACCCTTTGTCTCTCCCCCTTGGATATAGAATAATATGAACCACTGGTATTTATTGATCCCAATTTATTATATTATTTCTTGAGTGTTTATAGCCATCAAGTAATTTAATTTTGACAAGAACTCTGTAAGGACAGTACTCTTGTTATTCCCAATTTACAGACATACCTTGGAGATATTATGGGTGCAGATTCAGACCACTGCAGTAAAGCAGTACAGCAACAAAGGGACTCAGATGAGTTTTTTGGTTTCTCAGTGCATAAAAGTTATGTTTATACTGTATTGTAATTTGTTGAGTGTGCAATAGCAGTATGTCTATAAAAACAATGTACATACCTTAATTTTAAAGTATTTTATTGTTTAAAAATGCTGCCACAATCCCTGCTTTCAGCAAATCAATCTTTTTGCTAGTGGAAGGTCTTGCTTTGATGTTGATGGCTGCTGATTGATCAAGGTGGTGGTTGGTGGAGGCTGGGGTATCATAGCAATTTTTAAAAGTAGAACAGCAATGAAATTTGCCACAGTTGACTTGTCCTTTCACAATCTCTGTAGCATTCAGTGCTGTTTGATAGCATTTTACCCATAGTAGAACTTCTTTAAAAATTCGAGTCGGTTGTCTCAAAACCTCTCACTGCTTTATCAACTAGGTTTATATAATATTCTAAATCCTTTGTTGTCATTTCAGCCATCTGCACAGCATCTTCACCAGGAGTAGATTCCATCTCAAGAAACCACTCTTTTTTGCTCATCCATAAGGAGCTCTTATCCATTGAGGTTTTATCGTGAGATTGCTGCAATTCAGTCACGTCTGCAGGCTCCATTTCTAGTTCTGGTGTGATTTCCACCACACCTGCAGTTAATTTCCTACACTGATGTCTCAAACCCTTCAAACTCATCCATGAGGGTTGGAATTAAGTTCTTCCAAACCCTCTTGAGGAATTTTGACCTCTTCCCATGAATCATGAATTTAATTAATCGCATTTACAATGGTAAATCCTTCCCAAGTTTTCCCTTTACTTTGCCCAGATCCCTCAGAGGCATCACTATCTAAGACAGCTACAGCCTTCAAAAATGTTTTCTTAAATAATAAGATCAAAAAGTCTAAATTACTCCTTTATTCATGAGGTAGAGAATGGATGTTGTGTTAGCGAGCATGAAAACATTACTTTCGTTGTACATCTCCGTCAGAGTTCTAGAGTGACCAGGTGCATTGTCAAGGAGCCGTAATATTTTGAAAGGAGTCTTGTTCTGAGCAGTAGATACTCATCAGTGGGCTTAAAATACTCAGTAAAGCATGTTTTAAATAGATGTTCTGTCATCTAGGCATTGTTGTTCCATTTAGAGATTATATACTGAGCTCAGGCAGAGTAGATTTAGCATAGTTCTTAAGGGTCTTAGGATTTTCAGATTGGTAAATGAGCACTGGCTTAAATTTAAAGTCACCAGCTACATTAGACCCTAACGAGAGCCAGCCTGTGGGTTGAAGCTTTGAAACTAGGCACTGACTTCTCTCTATGAAAGTCCTAGATGGCATCTTCTTCTTCCAGAGTGAAGGCTATTTTGTCTTAATTAATTGAAAATCTGTTTTTTAGTCACATTCATTAATTATCTTAGCTGGATCTTCTGGATGACTTGCTGCAGCTTCTACATCAGCACTTGCTGCTTCACCTTGTACTTTTTTTTGTTATAGAGACAGCTTCTTTCCTTAAACCTCATGAACCCACCTCCATTAGCTTCATATTTTAATTCTGCAGCTTCCTCACTCCTCTCCACTTTCATAGTATGAAGAGAATTAGGTCTTTGCTCTGGATTGGCTTTGTCTTAAGGGAATGTTGTGGCTCTTTTGATCTTCTGTCCAGACCACTTAAACTGTGTCCCATATCAGCAAAATAAGGCTGTTTTGCTTTTTTAAATCATTCATCTGTTCACTGGAATAGCACTTTTAGTTTCCTTCAGGAACTTTTTCCTTTGCATTCACAGCTTGGCTAACTATTTGGCCCTAGATGTCTAGCATTTGGTCTCTCTTGGCTTTTGACATGTCTTCCTCACCAAGTTTAATCACTTCTAAGCTTTTGATTTAAGCTTTTGATTTAAAATGAGAAAAGTGTGGCTCTTCCCTTCACTTGAATACTTAAGAGGCTATTGTAGGGTTATTAATTAGACTAATTTTAATATTGTTGTGTCACAAGGAACAGGGAGGCCTGAAGAGGAGGAGATGGGGGAACAGCCACTTGATGGAGCAGTCAGAACATACACACAACATTTATTAAGTTCTTCCCCTTATTTGGGCTTTGCTCCTAGTGCCCCCAAACAATTAAAATAGTAACATCAGAGATCACTGGTCACAGACCACCATACAAAATATAATAGTAATGAAAGGTTTGAAATATTGGGAGAATTGCCAAAATGTGACACAGAGACTTGTGAGCAAATGCTATTGGAAACATGATGCTGATAGACTTGTTTTTTGACACAGGGTTGCCATAAATCTTCAGTCTGTAAAAAGCACAATATCTGCAAAGTATAGTGAAGTGAAGTGCAATAAAAGGAGGTATGCCTGTATAGACAAAAAAATGAGCATGGAGAGGTTAAACAGCTTATCTGAAGTGCTGTGGTTACAGGTGGCAAAGTTTGAACCCAGCTGTGTGGACTCCAAAAGGTTTCCTAATGGTATGACTCTCATGGGACTCCTGTGTGTAATTTTGCCCTCTCTCTACCCAGCCTCACCCTGTCTCATTCTTAAGTCATGAGGATTCACTTACTTTCTCCCATTTACCTGGTGTTTTTTTAGTGATGGTCCTTATACTTTCACTTTCACTTCCTGCCCATGGAAACCTTGATTCTCTTTTAATAGTTCTGCCCAGATATCACCATTAAAGTGATATTCCACCTTCCCAACCGAAAGCTTTTCATTCCCTATTCTAGAATTTATTTTTCATTTTTGGTGTTTTCCTTATTATGTTGTATAACATTTGTTTTATTTCCATCCCCCATTAGATTGTAAGCTCCTGAAAAGCAAGGACTAAACTGTCTTTCTTACCTGTTAAAAGCCATGGGTCCAGTGCCTTGCACTTAGAGGACAGCCAGAAACTGTAAATCTTTAAAATGAGCTTTATTCAAACAAATGTTTTATTAGAGATTTTATTTTTATAAGGATGGAATGTAGAATCCTTTCTTATTAATCCTTAAGAATTGCTATAGCTATGTTACAGGGATGTTTTACTCCCCATTAGATATTTTCTAATTTAATAATAACTTTATAAAATGTAATAAAATTTTAATCTTAAAATTAATTAATAATAGTTTATTGACTCTGCTTTTATCTTTTCAATTGAAAATTCTTACACTGCTAGACATATGTTTAAAACATACCAAGTTTTAAAAATATTGGTAACTCAAAGTAATTGAAAAGAGGATTGGTATTATAGGAATGGTAATATTTCTGTACTTTCCTATTATTCAGGTTTAAGAAATACAAAGAAACTCTTAAATGTCTGATTCATTTTTTTCTTAATTTTTAAAAATTTAATTTCTCCCCCCAAAATTGAGACCATTTTAGAGATACATACAAGAATTTTTAATGGGAAATTAAGATCAGAAAATAAGATGAAACTAGGTGGTATCTGCCCCTAAAATACATGCCAGAAGTGGGCCACAAATTTGACTTTTCTTTTTCCAGTGGTCAAAGTAAACAAGAAAACATGATTAGTTATATGGTCAAATTGTTCATATTGTAAATCAACCAGAAATTTCTCTTAATGGGTCTTCACGAAGAAGGGCTGCCATGTGAAGCAGGTGAACTGTAACTCCTGCAACATTCCTGCAGTAAACATAGAGTTTAGTGTAACTGATACCTATCAGGCCATTGAGTGCAAGTCAGCATTTCCTAAGGTCCTGGTAGTTTAGAAGATGGTCTTGTTTGATTTAAAACTTAGACAGTTATTTGTAAGGCAAGCACTTAAAATTTTCTCTTAGATAACATTATGAACTATAAAAAATTTTAGAACTCAGGTTTTATAAGGATGGAATAGGGTACAGAGTGGATGTCATCTTTTAGTCCTTAGTATACTAATCACCAAAGTGTCTCAGCACTGTAGTTGTAAAATGTAGAAGCTTGAAATAATATACAGAGGGCATATGTGAATGTATCTGCAAGGCTCCTGCCCAAAGGTTTTTTAAAAAGAAAGATGCCATAAAGAATTGTATTTGTAATTACAGTGAGCACATTAAAAATAAATGTTACATAGCTGCTAGAACTGTGGGTACATTTGGCAAGAAAGTTGGAATTAGTACTCTTGTGACCGTAGTTTGGGAATTACTGATCCTCTACAGCACTATTCAACAGAATTTACGGTTATTAAGGAAATTCTATCTGCACAGTCCAAAATGCTAACCAGTAGCTAAGGTGGCAGTTAAGCACATGTGGTGTGACTAGAATGACTGAGGAGCTGAACTTAATTTACTTTTAATTAACTTAAATGTAAATAATGTATGTGCCTCATAGCTAACCATATAGGAAGCTTAGTTCTAGAAAACAAGAAAGACTGCTTATTTCTTAGGCTCTGTAAGGTAGAGTAGCAGTGAGCTCAAGAATATATTCTTCATCATTAATTGAATAAAGACATCCTTTATTTCTAAGAGACATGTGTTTTTAAGATAATCACTGATTATTTATATTTAAGTTTATTTTTCTATTTTTGAACTTGAAAATTAGCAATTAGGATGCTTGATCTTTTAGATATTAATAGAACTGTTAGCAAATAGTGTTAGGCTAAAAACTATGTTTCAAATTTTTTCATGAGATTGAGACATTTACTTACAAAAATAGAAAGCTGTGGCTATACTGATAAGGAATATTTTTCTACAGTTTCCAGAATGTGGATTCTTTGGCATGTATGACAAAATTCTACTTTTTCGCCATGACATGAACTCAGAAAATATTTTGCAGCTGATTACCTCAGCAGATGAAATACATGAAGGAGACCTAGTAGAAGTTGTTCTTTCAGGTAAGTATATAGCATTTTTTATTTTTATCTTTTTTTTTCAATGAGCTTTATTTTTTGTGCTAAATGCTATGTTCAGTTTTACTTAGTCTTTATACTATAGTTGCTTATTCTTTCACCTGTAATAATGGTTACCATAAGATTTTTACTTTCAGGGAGGTTATATCACAGATGAGAAAGTAGAAAAATAAGCCCTGAGTTACTATTTGAGTGTTAACTAAGCTAAAGGAATTACTAATTGAACTGGAAGAGAAATATGCTCTTTCTTGAGTCAAAGAAATAAAACAATTACCCTGAAATTCTCCCTTTTCTTCATTTCTGTGAAGAGCATAGAAGGAAATTGGGGTTCTGAAAAGAAAATCAATAAAAGGAGAAACAATGAAGATGTGGAAGAGGAAATAGCAGTACTAATTGTTTCCAGGACTTAACTGAATAAAGAAATCCTTTATTTCTAAGAGACATGTGTTTTTAAGATAATCAGTGATTATTTGTATTTAAGTTTACTTTTCTATTTTTTGTAGAATAGAAAAAATAGTAAATAATGCTTCATCCCTTTTTGTTCTGAGTGGGCATGTCTTACCTTTCTCCTTTCCATTCATTCTTGCATTCTTGCCATTCATTGTTCCTTAGCACCTGTTTCTGACCTCATCCAAAAGAAAGGGGACAGGATTATTAGTGAGGAGTGTAAAGGAACAAAGAATGCACATAGTAGCCTGAAAAACTTACTATTTGACAGTAAAGGAGGAATGAGGGAAAGGAAGACCAGCCAAGAGTTTAGAGTCCTGCACTATTTTTTTCCTCTTTCCAAACTCATCTTTGCAGCCTGTTATTGAGATCCTCTCTGACCATCACCATTCCGTATTAGTCTCTGATCCTTACCGTTCATCTAGCCCCTACCTTGATCATTCATCTTCTACATCATAGCCCCAAACATCAATATACACCCCAAACATGGCTTTCTCTTCACTCTGGAGGGGCTTCACTCCCTGTCCTCTCAGAGGTCATGCTCACATCCATTCCTTCTCTGCTATGGACCCTTCATCAGATCACAGGGATATCCACTGATGATGACACAGATGGAAGTGAGAGGATGTCTACTGGCAGATGTGTCTACTACTGTTCAGTTGCTCACAGAGGGGAGAGGAGTTTTTTTTTCTTAACCACTAGGACTGTAGGAAAACAGACTACAGTGTATCCTGGGTTCCTAAGTTAGAACTTAGGAATGTTCTGTTTCCCACAGAAATACTAGTATACATTGAGGTTAAGTTCTAGAGTTTATTCTGTTTTACTGTAGTGTTCTATTTCCCAGTATATCATGTTTAACAGTTTTTAACTGGCTGAAACAGACCTAATAACTATTTGCAATCTTGTCACTATAAGAGAAAAATGCTTTTGGAAGTTGAAATACCTACGTTCTGGAGTTCAGTTATTTGAGGCTGATGAGCTTCCTAAAATAGAGTTTGGAAACCACAATATTAAATGCTAAAAATTAGTTTTTATGATTAGATGAAACTGAGAAAAAAAATTATTGTGTATACTTCGACACAAATGAATACAGTCAACATTCTTAATCTCATCACGATTACAAGTAGAGGGTTTATTTTAATACTTTTCTTTTTTAAAAGCTTTGGCCACAGTAGAAGACTTCCAGATTCGTCCACATACTCTCTTTGTGCATTCTTACAAAGCTCCTACTTTTTGTGATTATTGTGGTGAGATGCTCTGGGGATTGGTACGTCAAGGACTGAAATGTGAAGGTATGTGTTCCAAATTATGTGTCATTTGAAACAGCGTTTCGCATTTGCCTTCTCTAATCATCAATAAAAGAACAACATCATTGGTTGGTGACTAAGTAATACCCGGCTTTAGAAGAGGTCTATAGTTTTGAGTTAAAATTGCTAGGGGGTAGGCTGCAGGTGCACATCTGTGATTACTCCTCTAAAGACTCCAAGGTGGAAGGTCGGTAAACTCTGTGAAGGGCCAGAGATTACATATTATGTTTTGATGGCCATTTGATCTTTGTTGCAGCTACTTAACTGCTGTTGTGTAAACAATAAGAATGCTGTGTTCTGATAAAATTATTTATGAACACTGAAATTTGAATTTCATATAATTTTCAAACATCATGGGAGGGATTTTGTCCATGATCCACAGTTTGCTCAAGTGCTTTAAGCCAGTGGTTCTCAAACTTTTTCAAATTTCAGAATCCTTGAGGACTGTTAAAACATACTTTGCTTGACTCCATCCCCAATTTCTGATTCAGTATGTCAAGGGTGGAGCCCAATAATTTACATTCCTAGTGTATTCTCAGGTGATGCCTTGGGGAACACACTTCAAGAACCACCACTCTAGCTAACTTACCTTACTAAATAAACCTTTCTGCACATTTTCAGTTCTTGAATTTGTTGGCTTCCACTTGCTTTTCATCTGGGTTTTAATTAGGGTGACTATTGCTGCCAGAGAAAATCAATTCACTGAAATAGCACCTGTTTTTTATGTAATGAACTTACAGAGTAAAATTTTCTTTGTCTGTTTTTTCTTTTTAAATATATTTAGGCTGTGGATTAAATTATCATAAACGATGTGCCTTCAAGATTCCAAATAACTGTAGTGGAGTAAGAAAGAGACGTCTATCAAATGTATCTTTGCCAGGACCTGGCCTGTCAATTCCAAGACCCCTGCAGACTGAATGTGTAGCCCTTCCCACTGAAGAGGTATGTATTCTAAGGTAATAGGAGGACATTTTACTACTTACTCCTTATGTCCCTACAGAATATATGACATCATCATAGAATATAAGTTACATGCTAAAGAATAGGAACATTCCTCCATTTCAGAAACTTAGAAATGTATTACAGGAGACAGGGCTTACCAATTGTAACAAATTGCATTTTATATACTTTGGGATTACACTAGGACCACTGCATTGACCTCTTAAGCAGTGTCCCAAGTCCTGGCCTCCATACTTCCATCTTATTACACTACAGCTTAATATGCAACTCTGATTATATCACTCCCCACTAGGAAACTTTTATATATATTCTGTTTCCAACGGTGTGTACTATTCAATATTCCCTGAACACACCCTTGTTCCTCCTACCTTTGTTCTTGTTAGTATCCATCCTACATGCTTTTTCTAGACCTAGCTCAATAGCTACCTTTTCTGATTTTCCCCTTACCTAGAAATGATTTTATTTTCTGAATACCATGGCACTTTCCAAATCTCCCTAATGGTATGCATAGCATTCTGTCTGAATATTGTAGTGTTTATCCACAAGGTTGCTCTCAAGTAATTTATAATTTAGAGAACACAATGCTCATGTTTTTGTGTGCTCTACCATGCCCAGCATAATACCTGTACTTAATAGATCCTCAGTGATGAGTAAATGAGTGAATAAGCCCCACTGATTCTCATAATATTCCAGTGAGATATATTAATGTCTATATATGATGAGACAAATGAGATTCAGAGTGGTCAAGTGACTTGAGAAAAAATTAGTAAGCAATATCAGAATTAAACCTGGATCTGATGATTTTTAGATCCATCATTTTTCCTAATGTATTGTACCCCTGTAGGGTAAAGATAGTAGATAAAGGAAGAACTAATTGGCTTGTTCATTCAATAGTGATTTATTTTAAATGATTTCTATCCATAGATTATAATCTTACTATTTAGTTATTTTATAACCTCTTTGGTATTCTGTAAATTAAGGCAAAATCAAGTTTTTAGGCTGTTGTCTTGACACCCTAGTCACAAGATTTTACCAGACTAAGGCACCAGAGTAAAAGCCTCTGAAATCCTTTCACAAAAGTCCCATATTGCCATATTGCCTAACCCTAGTGTGAAGTTTTTAAAGTAGTAGACGAGTGCTGTGGCATAAAGAACTGAGAGCAAGGAGTTACCATGAACATAGGCAAGAGGTTGAGAAAGATGAATAGTGGAAAAAAGTTAGTGCATTTTATACACAAACTGTGAGAGAAACTTAGCTGGGAGCAGGGAATGTCGAAGAGAGGCATGTTGTTTAAGCCCCACAGATGGTACTGGTATGCCATTTATCCCAGTTCAGTATTACTACATTTAGAAATAGCAGGACAAAGCAGATAGATACCGTTTTACATTTTATTCATTATTTATATTGTATCCTGAAGATGGAAATTCCTCAGGGAAGTATAAGATGTAGAGCAACATACTTGAATTGGTTAGGTTGTATACAGAATATTTTAGAACAGGAAGAAATTGTAGAGTGGAATGTCTCTCAAGGTTACTTCTGTCATTCCAAGCATGTAGTCTCAAAGAAAGAAAGTCTAGTAAGAGCAAGGAGGTCATGGAGGAAAATTGGAAGGAAGAGGGCACTAAAGGAATGGAGGAGATAGCAGTTAGGAGATGAGAGCAATCTGGAATCTGAACCAAGGTTAGAGTAGTACTAACTTCAGGTGGCTGCACAGGAAATGCTTCCTGAGGTCTCATGTGCCAGGCTTCATGCTGGGTGCTTCACTTACCCTTTATTGTGTAATCTTCACCAGTCCTGTAAGGTACAGCTGTTATCCTAACTTCATTGATAAGGAATGAGCAAGAAAAGTTTCTGAGGAGTCAGTATTAAACTTCACTTATTACTGAGATGAGCTTGACAAAAGACTACATGGGAATAGAAACCTTTGAATCTGATTTTGTGGTTGTCATTGTTTACATGTAAGAAGGTAGTTTCTGTTACAGTGTCTGAAGCCAGTCTAAAGAGAATCAAGTCGAGATGGAGAAGCAGAAGAGGGATTGTTCATTGAATTTGGTTAAAATGTGATTTAGATGAGAGAAACCACTTACATGAAGGAAACCAGTAATGAGTGATGATTATTTGGAGATGAGAAAGAAATATTCCTTGCAGTACATTTGGGGATATTCCCGAGGAGCCAGGACAGGACAGAAGGTAGAAGGAAACTGCTGGCTCAAATATACACATAAAAGTGCAGATATTTCTTCCACTGAATAATATTCCAAAGTCAAATATATAATAGGGGAATTTTCCCTTTAAAAATGCCTCTGTTGTTGTTGTACATAATTGAGAGTTGGCAATATTGTAATAAAGTTTTTGTGAGCAAATGTTAGTTTGAAACCACACTGTGGAAATAATCAGATTACTTTTAGAAAATTTCTGGCTACACATTAGTAAGAAAGAGGTAAGAATTTAGGTAAGGAGTAATTTGTAAAGAGGGGATATTAAAGCAAGTAAGAAAGAACTTTCACTCAGTTCTAGTTACTCTAATCTCAGAGATCCCATTTTAACCAGATGCTCAAGGTAATTCTACCAACACCCTCCTTCCTCCAAATCCTGATTAGGTCTGCTGTACCTTTCCTGCTTTCCTCACTCAACAGAGCAGTTAACCATTGATGAGATTGTAACATATGCCCAGGCATGTTAAGATGGAAAAAAGGTGAAAAATCACTGGTCTAGCACATAGAAGACATAGATCTAAGTCCTGGTTTTAATACTGGAGCTTAGTAGTATAAATCCCTCTGAGCCTGTTTTTTCATACTTAAAATAGAGATAATAACAAATAACTAGTTGTACTGACATGAAAAACTAGGTGACTGCTACAGCCACAGTTCTCTGAATAGTACCTGGCACATACTCTGTACCATGTCCCTAGTATCCCAGTCCAGCAGGACCTAAGAAAAGGCAATCGCTAGTGGGCCACTGACATTGGCAGGTTCTGCCTTACACAGCTGTCCTCTATATTTGATGATGAGTGACTAAATCAGTCTTCCATCTTGTGTGCTTTAAACTTGAGACAAACTAAAAGTGGTAGAAGCAGGAGCAAGAGCGGCGGAGTGTTGAGTCACCCACTAGTGTAGCGAGTAGGGAACCAGGGATGTGCAAAGGCCTAAAACATCTGCTTCTATTTGCGATTAGCCTCTTTACTAGCTTTGCAGAATCACTGTGGCGTTCTTTTTGCTGAAGTTGCTCTATACATGGCTACATGAGGAAGGGTGAACCAGACTAGAGCAGAACGCATTGGGCATCTGAAGCATGCAAACTGAGTTTTAACATTCTTTCTGTACTTCTCTTAAACTGCTTTATAATTTGCTTTAAAAACCTCTAGCTCATATTAGTGAAAAATTATCCATCAGTGGCTGTTTTTGTGTTCTTTTTACAGTGCTCTCCTCCATTAGTTCTTTTCTTTTTTCTTCTTTTCCTAAAAAGTTCTTTTTTCCCTCTTTTTCATTTCAAACATTTCTTGGTCTCTTTGTTTCTTCTGACTTCTTTTGTTTCTATTGGTCACACATAACTGGAGAATGACTCGAGTTATCTGAGTTACAGACATTACTGGTTATAGAAGGCATGTTAAAGATCTCAGTCCCTCAGTTCTGCAGTGAAGATGCAAGCAGCTACAACAGAATCTGTACTACATCTAGATGGTAGTGAGGTATTTGAGTTTTGTGCTTGAGAACATGGACTATACTTTATTTCTTTTTGTATCCCCAATACATAGTATAAGGCCTGGCCTATAATGAACAGTGAATGTTGAATAGATGGGACGAGCCATGTTGCACTGGCCTGTAATTTGTCTACTTCCTTAGTATAATAAAAAGGACCATAGTTACAAAAATCCACTTGTCCCTCAAGTTACAGAAGTTTTTTGATCAACATCTTCTTCAATTTTCCAATTTACTTACTGGGGAGGGGGATAAATAACTGGAAAATAATTTAAATACCAAGAGGTAAAGTTGTTTTACTTTTGTATCTGATGTTATTTGTATCATTAATTAGGCTTTAATTTTTACATATATATTCTAGTATAAAATTTGAAAAAATGACTTATTTCAATAAGTATTTTTGGACATCTTGTTCAGTAATTCAACATGAGCAGTAATAACATTTTCTGAATTTATATACTTCTGTAATTAATTTCTTGGTAAGGTTTTTGAAGGGGTTTCAATATGTTATAAATTCATTTTAAGGCTTTTTTGTATTTGCAAAAATGCCACACACATACATATATCAATGCACATTTGTAAGTATATGTGTATGAGAATGAAAATACCTTTTTTTAGCATAAATAATTGCAAAAGAAATGATGCACTTTTCTCATTCAAGGGTTGGTAAGTTAAATTTCCAAAGGAAACTGCTGAGATCCACATTTTTTAATTTTTGGCTTTAGTGTTTGAAATAAATGACTTTTGTGGTCAAGCCCTGCTCTTACTACTTTGTTTTTAATATTGACTTATAGAAATTACTTATGTTTTAGTCACATGTTCACCAAGAACCAAGTAAGAGAATTCCTTCCTGGAGTGGCCGCCCAATCTGGATGGAGAAGATGGTAATGTGCAGAGTAAAAGTTCCACACACATTTGCTGTTCACTCTTATACCCGTCCCACAATATGTCAGTACTGCAAGCGGTTACTGAAAGGCCTCTTTCGCCAAGGAATGCAGTGTAAAGGTAGGATTGTATATTTTTTTTTAAGTAAAATTCATCTCTGGTTCTTTTAACAAATACAGGTTTAAAATATTTATATTTCAGAGGCATTAAGCAAAGAAAGTGGTCTTGTGGTTGTTAACTTAGAAAGAAAATACACACATACACACACGTATTTATTACCACTATTACTACTGTCTGCAATATGTTTACTGTGTACCGGGAACTATGTTAAAGGAAAATTGGAATTTAAACAGAAAAACTAGAATTTTAAATTAAATCTGTGAGGTATGGTTGCTAAACACTTGCCAGTATGGAACAGTTAGTAAGCAATTAAGCTGTATTTGAGCCTTATGTTTTTCTGATTGCAAAGCCAGACACTACCCAAAATAAAACAATGCTTTCCTCTTTGGTTAAATGTTCACACACACAAACGTATTACAAGAGTTTTGTTGTTTTTGTTTTTAATTCTATAGCTAGGAAAGCTGTACAAAAACTGTCATTCCAGAGAATAATACACTGAAATAGGAAAAATATAGTAAAAGCCACTGGAATTATAGTAGAGACCACCCACATTTGGATACTAATCCAGAACACTTTCATAGTATTCCAGAAACATCTCTTAATGAACCAGGTTTTTAATAGAATAATGGAGTAAATTTTTCCTATAGATCTGCAATGTTTTTATGTATCTTAAAGCTGATTTTGTCTTTTTGTCTCATGTCTCCTTCTCAGCAACACTATATAATAGAGTGAAAATGAAAATGGGGAGTTTGAATGTGTTATTGGTCATTGAGCTAGGTACTGTGTAATTTTCTGTACTTTTTTTTCATCAGTTTATTTTAATAATTCTTGGTACCATACTTTTTATATATAGTAGAAGTATTTGTGGAAATCTGGTTTTATTTAAATAAAACAGTAGAACTGAAATCTTTGCAACAGTAAATCCTGTTTATAATACAGAATCAAATAATTTGTATAAATTTGACTTTAGTATGTAAGAAAACTTTTCTTGGCAATGTGTGGCAACCTGAGAGAACATCAAATAGAGAACAGGTCGTACGTTTGTTGCCAAGCATTTAAAACTATAAGGCAGGCATAATTAAATGTTGAAATTTTATTTCAACAGCTTACTTTTGAATATGAGTTCACATATAAATTAGTACTTTAAAATATCAACGCTAAAGTATATTGGCAAGCAGTCACTAAGGAATGTTTTGGGAAAGTACATTAATAACGTACAAATTCTAGCAACAGATAATTTTAGTAAAGGTAGTAAATAGTGCTTCTCTGTTGAACATAACAGAAACATTCTAAAACTCTATGCATAAAAAAGTACAGTATTTTGTATAAGAACTAAAGTATGTAGATTAATGAGTTTTGAAATAAAATTAACATTACCACTGGGTTATTAGCGTAACTTCTTAGAGCTCTAAAAGTAATGTTTTACGCTTTTATTGGTTGGTTCAGAAAGTAGCAGGTTATATTTCTATATAGCAAAGCTGTTTTAGTTACAAATCGAAAACAATCATGATTTTCTTCAGTAATTGTTGTCTTTTTACCATATCAATTAGGATAATCAAAAAGTGAAATAGTCATTTTCATTCACTTGTCCAGCTCAAAAAAAAAAAGTAAAGTAAAACAGCTATGCTTGATCATTTTAGAAAATACACAGTTCCAAGAACAACCATTCATTCATTCATCTGTTTATCTTCTACTTTGTCTTATTAAAACTTAAAGGCAGTTTGACAGCATATATAAAATATAAGAATGAACAAATTTATAAAAATGTATAGGAATATAGAGAAGTTAAATTGCCTGACATTTAGAGCCTACATACTTGCTGCAAGTAGGCCAAAATTTGACTCTGCATTTTCAAAGGGAAAATTAAAACCTTGTTATTGTCACAGTTTGCAAACTTCATTAAATAAAAAACAAATCAATTATTTAAGATTTATTTAAGATACTAATATTAATATATATGAATTTTTCTAGGTAGGGGGCCTCTCATTAAAAAAGACAGTGTTAAGTAATGATAATTTCTCATCCAACAAATTATTAATTTCATGGGGCTTTTTCTTATATTGACCTTTCTTATATACCCAGAATTTTCTTAAATAACAAGGGCTACAAAACTATTCTAAGTCAGGACTTGAAATTATTTTTACCCAGTTATTGTAGGTAGATGTATTTCAAAGGTGATTTAGAGAGTACTTACAGCAGTGTGTCTCAAGTTTAGTGTCATCTAAAGTGGTTTATTAAGATACATATTACTTAGCCCCGCTCCCAGAGTTGCTGATAACAATAGGTCTGGCTTGGAGCCCAAGAATTTGCATTTCTAAAAAGTTCACAAATGATCCTGGTGCTTCTGGTTCGGGAACCACCGAGTTACACGGTAATACTGAACAGCTTGTACCTGACACTAATGGGCAATGATATCATCTCGGGGGTTTTTGCAAGCTGAAGAAAACCATTATGTACTGGTGGGGGTACTGTGTGCATGAGACTCTCAGTCCTTCCTTACAAGGCTGTATGAGAAAACTCTTAACCAATTCCTAATAAATGTTTGTATAATCACAATCTCATTTTTGCATATTCATTGGGTCCAAACAATTAGGAATTGAAAGTAAGTACCTGACATGTTGGAAAGGAATTTAATCAGTCTGAAAAACAAGGGAGATGTGGAAAGATGAATATGAGGTAAGGGAAGAAAGAAACATGGAGTTGCCAGTAACATTTTGGCAGTGTGTTACAGAAATAGTATTAATTTCATTTTACAGATATAGAAACTGAGCCCTGAGGAGGTAAACAGTTATTAAGAGATGGTATCAGAATTTGAAACCATACCTCTAGTCCAAGACCTGAGTCCTTAATAGTAGAAAACTTATATCACTCTCTCATAATTTCATCATCACTACTAATAATACTCTTTATTTGTGAGTAATTTAAGGAAGTCTCTGACCATATCTGATACTGCCTTGTTACATAAATTAATAAGCCAAATATTTTATTTTAGATTGTAAATTCAACTGCCATAAACGCTGCGCATCAAAAGTACCAAGAGATTGCCTTGGAGAGGTTACTTTTAATGGAGGTAAAATTGTTTTTCTTAATTTCATAAAAGATCAGCCAGAAAAGGGCACAATTCTTTTGTGTATTATTTTGTACAAGGCTATATTTGTAATTTTCCTTTCATTTACTTTGTTTCTTAACTTTGGCTTTTTTTTTTTCTGATTTAATATCAAGCAAAATACGGACATCAGTAATGATATACTTTTATTAGTTATCATGCTTTCCCATCTTTTTTTTAGCCAACTACCACTTTGTAGTCTTAATAGCCACTGGTGCTGCATGGTACGATAGTCTCTTTCATCTTTAGATGAAATTCAATTTCATCTAAATGAATTTAAAATATTTTAAAACTCTACTATTGCCCCTCGAGCTATTTCATAGTTCTGCTGTTTACTGAATTCAGCATATTTATCAGGTACTGTTCTAAATTCTTTACATATATTGACGTTTAAACCTAAGAACAACCCCTTGACATACATACTTATAAATGAGTAAATATAGGCACAAAGACATTAAATAACTTGCCCAAGAAATACAGCCAATAAGTGGAGACTGGTAAAAAGTGAATATAAGTTAGTTCTGTAGGAGGAAAAGCAAAAAGAATGTGAATTAAACTCCTTAAGAGTTTAACATGTTCTCTTGCAGCATGTTTTCTGTGGTTACTGTTAAATACCATTGATGGCATAATTGTTTTTCTCATTGCAGTTACACTGAATTAATAAGAGTTTTTCTATATGACTGAAGTCTTTATCCAGATTCATAGTTGATGTATTTTTGTGCTCTTCTTCCTTGTGACAAATGGATATAAAATATTATTTACATTCATTTTAATATATGCATTTGTCTGTATGTTAATGAGTTTTAACATCTTTCAATTGTTTACTGGTTATTTAGGGTTTTTTCCCCCTGTAAATTCCCTGTTCACATGTTTTGGCCATTTTTCTGTCATTGATTTGCAGGATTTTTGATAATTCTGCTAATTCTTTGTCAGTTGTATGTGATACAAATACCTTCTCACAGTTGTGGCTTATCTTTTGAGCAGCTTTGTTGTGATATAATATTCATACCTTACAATTCATACATTTAGTTTATTCACAAAGTTACACAGCTATCACTGCAATCTAATATTAGAATATTTTCATCACCCCAAAAAGAAACTCTATCCACATTGGTAGTCATTCCCCTCTACTCTTCCACACCAGCCCCTGGGAACCACTTACCAGCTTTCTATCTCTGGGTTTGTCTACTAGACATTTCATATAAATGGAATCATACAAATGTAGTCTTTTATGACTGATTTCGTTCACTTAGCATAATGTTTTCCACGTTATAACATGTGTCAATACTTAATTTTTTTTTATTGGTGAATAATATTCCTCTGCACAAATTATACCACATTTTATTTGTCCATTCACAGGACAGTTGACTTCAGATTTGAATTGTGTCTACTTTGGGACTATTAAGTTATATCCACCTTGGGGCTGTTGTGAATAATGCTATGAATATTTGAGTACAGTTTCTGTGGACATGTGTTTTCATTTCACTTGGGTAGATACCTAGTAGTGGAATTTTGGGGTCATATGGTAACTCTGGGTTTACATTCTGAGGACTGCCAAACTTTTCCAAAGCAGCTGTTTTACATTCGCACCAGCAGTGTATGAGGTTTCTAATTTCTCTACTTCCTTGCCACAACTTGTAGTCTGTCATTGTGATTGTCAGCCTAGTGAGTATGGAGTGATACCTCACTGTGGTTTTGATTTGCATTTCCCTGATGGCTAATTGATATTATACCTCTTTACATATAGCTATTGGCTATTTTTATGTGTGCTTCAGAGAAGTAGCTATTCTTTTCCTTTGCCCATTTAACCAGGTTATTTACCATTTTACTATCAGTTGTAGGAGTTCTTCAAATAATCTGGGTAGAAGTCCCTTATTTGGTGTATGATTTTCAAATACCTTCTCCCAGTTATGGGCTGTCTTTTCACTTTCTTGGGGTATCATTTGCAGCACAGAAGTTTTAATTTTGATGAAGTCCAACTTATTTCTTTTTGCCTTTTGTCACATGTTTTCAGTGTTGCATCTGAGAAGACTTTGCCTAACCCAAGGTCACAAAGATTTACTCCTGTTTTCTTCTCAGAGTTTTATAGATTTAGCTCACCTCGAGTAAATTTGTGAATTTGGTTTAAGGAAAGGGATTGAATTTCATTTATTATTTTTTTGGATGTAGATAACCAGTTGTCCTAGCACCATTTATTGAACAGACTACTTATTCTTTCCCCATTGAATTGTCTGGATCCCTTGTGGGAAATCAATTAACCAGACATAAATAGTGGTGGCTAATCTTTTATTTTGCATCTAGGATCTTTTGTTACACAGAAGTTTAAAATTTTACTATCAAATTAATTAATTTTCTACCTTGTATTTATTTTATATTTTCCTTAAGAAATATTTCTTTATCCTGAATCATAAAGATATTTTCCTGTAGTTTCATTTAAGAGTTTTAAAACTTTTTTCACATTTAATATACTGTCTTTGTTTAGATATACTGATATCCCATTAATATAAAACTCTGAATTCATTTTAAACTTTGCCAGAACCCTCCAGTCTGGGAACAGATACAGATATACCAATGGATATTGACAGTAGTGATATGAACAGTGATGGTAGTCGTGGCCTGGATGATACAGAAGAGCCATCTCCCCCAGAAGATAAAATGTTCTTCCTGGATCCATCTGATCTTGACGTGGAAAGAGATGAAGAAGTCATTAAAACAATCAGGTAATGTATTTGTATATATTGCAAGCTACTTCCTGGTCAATACAGGAGCTCCATTAAGAAAGGAAAATCCACATCTCTTTAAGTGGAACCTAAAATATGATCTAAAGATCAAATTAAATTGTGCCTAATACTTTTACATATACCACAGTCCACAGTATTTCTGAAATAAATTTTACTGCTCTTGCCATCCACTCAGGATGGGGAGGTTTGAGAATTCATGTTTTCTTTAGGAGAAAAATATTTAAATATAGCCTATATAATATCTAGCTGTGGAACATCCACTGTAAGGTGCCAAAACTGAACCATCAGTTAAGGTAACCAGTTTCTTCACACAGGCACATTAGCTGATGTTAGAAGTACAGTAAGAACATGGACCTAAACAATGCACAAAGATGACAGTGACGAATTGGGTGCAGTTTTCATATTACCACAAGTAATCTGACTATTAACACTTTGTAAAGATGCTATTGGGTTATAAAACTTTTAAATATCCCCCTTTTTATAGAAACTAAGTTTTTTTATATATGTAACCCTGTGGAATATACTACTTTTTATTAAATGTTAACATTCTGACAGGTTTTGTTTTTCATTGGTAAGAAGAGGCATTTAGAGAAAATGTTTTATATATCAAACTCACATGGCTGAGCTGTCATTTATCCAGTTTGGTTTCCCATTAGATTATTGCTATTATTTATCTTCAATATCTAAATCTTAGTATTTATAAATTTGGAGGCTATTAAGAGAACTTAATTTCCTAATCATGACCAATTCATAATTCAAGAAAAATTATTTAAGACTCAGATGATAAAGTGTATCCCCCAATTGTTCTTTTTCTCCAGCTATACTGTTACTGACCTATGTTTCAGTATATCTTATTTGACTCAGTATATTATTTATTATTTTCATTTCCTTAAATCTGTAAGTCATTTTCCTAGCAATATCTTCTACTAGAAGTACTTTTTGTCAACAGCGTGAATAATGGAGTTTGACACTTGAAACTTGTAAATTTGGGTATAGATAATACTTGCTTTTTGTCTTGTTATGAATTCACTAGTTTATGATGCCGCCTAGAGCAGGAAGATTTTACAACAGCAGTCCCAAGGAAGACCCTGTCCCAAGTTTCAGGTTTTCCAACTGGGGAGGATTCTTTCTGTTCTCATCATCATTTCTTATGTTTTATGACGCTCCAGAAAATACTGATGACAAATAATGAGGACCTACAGTATTATCTTAGTCTTTGTGTTATCATAAGAGGATTTATTTTTCTTCTTAATCCATTGTTTGTTTTCCTGAGATATTTTGAAAAATTTTAGCTCAGTTATCTTAAAAAAGGTTTGATGAGCTTACAATACTTACATGAATTTTTAAAACTGATATCACCAATATTTATCATAAATTTTAAATATTTTTTTAGTCCATCAACAAGCAATAATATTCCGCTAATGAGGGTTGTACAGTCCATCAAGCACACAAAGAGGAAGAGCAGCACGATGGTGAAGGAAGGGTGGATGGTCCATTACACCAGCAGGGACACCCTGGTCAGTAATCATAGACATTTTAATATGGTAGTAGAAACTTTGTTTGTGCTTTATCTTATGCATTTTTTAAATCAAAATGAGAATGAGATATATATGAAGGCATTATACTGGGACTATAGTTAAATTTGTAAAGAATTTTTAAAAGACAGACTATTCAATGTATTTTTACAAACCTATAGAGCAGTAGAGATCCAAAGAGAGTCCAGGGATACAACACCAAATGCATGACCCACAAATAAAATCATTGATGGACTGGACTTCATTGCAATTAAAAACTCTGCTCTGCGAAGGACAATGTCAAGAAAAATGAGAAGACAAGTCACAGTATGGGGGAAAATATATGCAAAAGAGACATCTAGCAAAAGACATTCTCTGAAATACACAAAGAACTCTTAAAACTCAACAGTTAAAAAACAACAAAGACCTTGAGCACATACCTCACCAAAGAAGATACAAAGATGGTAAATAAGCACATGAAAAGACACTACACGTCATGTCACCAAGGGAAATGCAAATTTAAACATCAGTGGGGAACTACTGCACACCTATTAGAATTGCCAAAATCTGGAACAATGACCACACCAAATGCTGGCAAGAGTGTAGAGTAGCAGGAACATTTCATTCATTTCTGTGGGAGTGCAAAATGATACAGCTACTATGGAGACAATTTGGCAGTTTCTTACAAAACTAAACATGTTCTTACCATATGATCCAGTGGTCACACTCCTTGCTGTTTGCCCAAAGGAAATGAAAGCTAATGTCACCACAAAAACCTGCCTATGGATGTTTACAATAACTTTACCATAATTGCCAAAACTTAAAAACAACAATATGTTCTTCAGTAAGTAAATGGATAAACTGTGGTACATCCAGACCGTGGAGTATTATTTAGTCCCAAAAAAGCAATGAGCTGTCGAGCCATGAAGACATGGGGGAGTATTAAATGCATATTACTAAGTGAAAGAAGCCAATGTAAAAAGGCTATATGTTGTATGATTCCAACTATTTTAACATTCTAGAAAAAGCAAAACTATGGAGACCGTAAAATCAGAGGTTGAAGAGGGGGGTTAGGTAGGGATGACTGACTAGGCAGAACATGGGATTTTTATGTCAACAAAAACATTCCATATGATACCACAATTATGGATACATTATATGATGTCATACATTTGTCCAAACCCTAGAATGCACAACACTGAGAGTGAACCATAATATGAACTATGGACTTTGGTGATTATGATGTTTATCAGTTGTAACAAATGTACCACTTTGACGGAGAAAGTTGATAGGGAGGAGACTATGCATGCGTGTATGGAGAAAGATTTATGGGAAATCTCCATATATTTCCCTCAAATTTGCTTTGAACTTAAAACTGCTCTGAAAAAGTAAACTTAATTTTAAAAAATTCTATATGGTAGAAAAAGCAAAGACAAATGACAAACTAAAAAAGTATTTGCAACTCATACTCTAAACAAGAATTAATTCCATTATATGTAAAGAGTACCAACAAACTGGTAAGAAAAAGACTACAAGACATTAGAAAAATGGGCAAGAAACATGAACAGAGAGTTCACAGACAAGGAAATACAAATGACTTTTAAACATAAGAGCTTGATCCCATTATTAATAAAAAAATACAATTCAAAATTTCACTGGAAGACCAGTTTTTATTTAATCTGTAGCAAAGATCAAAAAGCTTAATATCATTTTGCATTAGTAAAGATTTGAGTAAATAGGTAGTCTCATTATGCCAGTCAGTCTATAAATTAGTTCAAATCTTGTGTAGGATAATTTAACACTCAAGAAAAATTACTGTGCATATATCTTCTGACCCAGCAATCCAACCGTAAGAATTTAGCATATAGATAAATGACTTATCTATGTGTGTTTGTAATACATGTATTTGCACATGTGTGCATGAAATTTCTCTAAAATGATTCCTAAAAACCTAATAACAACGCTTCTTAGATTAAGGGATGAGTGATTGTGGGAGTGTGGTTTTCACTGTATATCCTTTTTATATTTTCAGAATTTTGAACCTCATGAGTTTGAAACCTATTCAGAAGTATCAATTTTTGAATAGGAAGAAAAGGAAAAGGAAAGTACAGATAATTTAAAGGAATCACTTTTTTTCAACCTCACAATTTTATTCTTTTTATTTTATAGAGAAAGAGGCATTATTGGAGACTGGATAGCAAATGTCTAACATTGTTTCAAAATGAATCTGGATCAAAGTATTATAAGGTAAATATATTTTTTAATATGCACATTAAAATATATCTTCCAAATAATATTCATTAATTATTAAAATGGAATATTTCTATTATGGCTCTACCTAATATAACTTACAGAAATCACTATTCCTTGTTGAAGCAACTGTCCCCCACCACTCTATTTCAGCCCCTCCAACAGCCCTGCCACCTCAGGTTTTTGTTGTACGTTTCTTTGTCTTGGCCTGCCTGTTAGGTCTCTGCTGCTTTCCTTCTGGATGCCAAGATTTATATTAGACTGTTCAGAAAGTCCCATGATCACTGGATGTCCAGAAGAGATCAGTGTGGTATTTTGTGTTTCTCCCCACTTCCATTTTACCGTAGGTCCTAATTCCCAAATGCTTCTTTGGCCCCTCATCTCCTTTATATAATCTTACTTGCTTGGCTTGCTCCACATTTTGCCACATCACAGACTGACATCAACCAAAAGTCTAAGTGTAGCAGTTGTATCAATAAGAAAGAGAATAGAAATTAGTGACTTGCTTGGTTTATTTAAGCAGTTTTTTTATTTAGGAATTGGATTTGACCTAAATGATTATTACAGTTATGGACAAAACCAGAGTGGAGTGCTTGATAGTCTATACTGACATTCTACTTTTGCTGCTATCTGCTTTGTACTCTTAAATTTTGGAGACAACAGCCAGTAAAATAGTTGTTAAGAGTTGATTTAATGGCAATTAGAAAGTGGCAAGTGTTGGATGAAGTGACCATCACCTTTCTAAATCCTCCCTATCCTTGCATTCTAATGCTCTGCCTCTGGCATTGCTGGACATGCAAATCATTCAAGGCAGTTATTATCCTAAGACTTGACTGTGTACTCCATGTGCCACATATTTCTGTTCATCCTAATGGCATTCATTAGAAATGCATGTCTTCAACTATGCAGTGTCTTTGAAAATAAAAACAAAGATGTATTCATATTTTCCAATGTTTAATTTTTTACTTCAGGAAATTCCACTTTCAGAAATTCTCCGCATATCTTCACCACAAGATATCACAAATATTTCACAAGGCAGCAACCCACACTGTTTTGAAATCATCACTGACACTATGGTATACTTTGTTGGTGAGAACAATGGAGACAGCTCTCACAATCCTGTTCTTGGTGCCACTGGAGTTGGACTTGATGTAGCACAGAGCTGGGAAAAAGCAATTCGCCAAGCTCTCATGCCTGTTACCCCTCAAGCGAGTGTTTGCACTTCTCCAGGGCAAGGGAAAGATCACAGTAAGCAATAAGCTTGTTGATGGCTTTTTTCCCCTTTGGTTCCTAATCATTTTGTGGGTGTGATTGTGTTTCTGTATGTATTTATAATGCTCATTATAAGCTTCATCTTTAGTAACCGTTATCATTAGTTAATTCCTTTATAAAATTATGTTGGTTATAGTGTATAAATACAATTCCCAGGTCAGGCTAGATCAGTCTCCCTACATTTAAATCTGGCTCTGCCAATCTGGTATGTGATCCTAGGCAAATATTTCACCTCTGTAATTAGTACCTTCGAAAGGTTGTCAGCATGAAATGAAAGAGAACCTGTGAAGTATAGAACAGTGTTGGCATCCATGACCTCTCGCTGGAGTCAGTAGACTAGTATTGGTATTTAGCTTCATGGTACGGTTTAGACTAAAAAGTGTGACAGTTCACATCATACTCATGAAATTTATCAAGTAAAAGCTGCATTTCTTTTATCTGAATTAAAACATTCACAAATATTTAAAAACTCTTGAAACACATGATCTTTGCACCAACAAAATTTATAAAAAGCAACCTATATTGCATAGAAGTACAAGTGAGCATTTAATCAGAAAGCCATAGTATAAGGTCACTCCCCACCCATTGGCATCATGTTATTTATGAAGAAACATAATTCAGTAATTACACAAAAATATTTAAATTGAACCAGTTTCCAAATATGCTTTATTTCAGTTTAGCTTTATTATTTTGTGCACCTATTCTTGGCATTATGCTTGGCCCTGAGCTAAAATATAAAAGAAACACAGAAATTTTAAAAGGTAACTAAGATATTTAGGACCCACATACAGAGGAGGTAGGTGGTAACAAAGTAGTAGACTACAGAAATGAGCAGTGCATTACTCGAGGAAATCAGATATGGGTGGGAAGAGTAAGCAGAGACTTCATGATAGAAGAACCTGATTTGGACCTTGTCCTAGATCTTCAGTGGCTGAAGATAGGCAGAGCTAAGGGAGGTGAAGAGGGGTAGTGTTACTCCAGTCGAGGAGACAGATGTGATCAGAGGGACAAGGGCAATGACCATGAACATTGTAATGTTGATTCTTAGTGGGTGAATAGGTGGATATTCTCAATGCTGCTTAAGTTTTGGGGGATTTTGGAAAGCACTCTGATACTCTCATTAAAAACATGGGCTCTTTCCCCCAGAAAATAGTACAAACACATATACGTGAATTTTATATGTAATTGGATTTGGGGACCGTTTAAGTCTCCTTAGGGCTAAGAGTCCCTAGAAGCAAAACTGCAGGCGGATTAAGAGTGAGGATTCTAGGGAATGAAAAACCAGTTCTGCTCTCAGTTCTCTAAGCTGATATGGGAAGAAAAAACACACGTACTGCACTTAGCACAGCTCCTGGCACATTTACTGGGGCTGCTGCTGTCGTGCCAGTTGGGAGCAGAGCTCTCCTGGGAAGCAATAGAATTCAAACTGGGTAGAGCCAGATAGTGGAGGCCTTTGAAACACAGTAAATATTGACTTAAACTAGGCAACTGGAATTACTGAAAAGTAGAGTTTCAGACACATTAACTGTTGATGCTGTGCTTTTTTTGTTTCATTATTTAATATTTGAATCATTTAAAATATTTTAAAATTGGTATTTTGGAGTTTCTGACAGTCGTGTTACTTATTTTTGATGTATAGTTAATTTACTTACATTTCCTTATTAGTGAAGTTTTATGTCTTTATATTTGGGATTATATAGGGAATTTCATATCTTGTATTTGAGGTGTCTGAGGTTCTTAGATGTTTGCTACCTAGTTTCTTGCTTACTTGCCATATTTACCTTTTCTCTTTTTCTTGTCAGTTACTTCCTTTGCTTACCAAAATAATATAAACATTTAAACTTTATAGAAATATGTAATATAAAATGAGAATCTCCTTACACATCCCTATAGGATGGGAACCTACCTGTTCCCAATCCTATATCTTTCCCCTCAGAAAACCATTATTAACATTTTGATACATATTTCTTGATTTGGGAAGGACTTGGGGGAAGATGAGCCTATACTGTCTAACTATATTGTTAAATTTTTATTTTTTACAAAAAATGTGGTCATACTGTTTTTTTTCAACTTGCTTTTATCCACTTTTATGTATCAGATATATTAGTGTCTGTATATAGACTTAACTAATTTTAATTTTTTTATATGAAAGTAGTGCATGCTTTTTATGTTTTAAAAAGTACAAGCAGTATAGAAGTGCATAACAACTAAAATCTTGGTTTCCCACCCCCACCTCTCCACTCACCAGGGGTAATCATGTTATTTGTTCATTTTTAATTCAAATGCTGCTACCCAGCAACTTGCATTTTTGACTTAATGTCATGGGTAGCTTTGTGACTTGATATTTAAATCTATAGCTTTATACCATTAAGTGTTTAGATAGTAATTTTGTTTGGATCTATCATATTTTATTTGACCAGTTTCCAATTATGGATGGAGTAGTGTGTACGTGGATAAATTTTTTTTAATGAACATAAATTATCTTAACTATGTTAGCCAGTTTTTAAAATGTACTGTGGACATTCATGTCAGTAAATATTAAGTCATATAAAAAATTTTTTTTTTTTTACTCAACATCATTCTTACATTTTACAGAAGATTTGTCTACCAGTATCTCTGTATCTAACTGTCAGATCCAGGAGAATGTGGTAAGTAAAAATTATAGCTGAAATATGCAAATTGGGTGATTAAAGAAAATGTGAAATTCACATTAGAGAAATAGGTCCATAGTCCAGAGTGTAGAGCAATTTGCCTAAAGACACTAGGCTAGACTTTGTGGGTGATAACTTCCCCAAGGAGTTCTGCTTTATGAAGAGAAACCAAGGCACATTTTTTTAAAATTCTGAAAATAAAGTTAACTTTTTCGTAAGTGACATTAGAATATTACATAGTGATAAACTAGTGCAAAGAGAAGAGAGAGATTATATCTTGCTGTGTAAGAAGGGAAAGCTTCCTGAAGGAAATGAATCTTGAGCTGTGGCCACAGGGATGGAAAGGCATTTTGACAAAAAGTACTGAAAGGATGAAGGTGAACATTGCATCTAAGTGGAGCGAAGATGAAATGCAGGACTTTTCAGGAGCAGTGACTAGATTAAGCTTGGCTAGTGTATACAGGTACCTGTAGGGATTATGTAACAGAGATTAGCATACTTTCTATAAAGGGATAGATAGTAAATATTTTAGGCTTAACAGAACATACACACTAACTCAACTCTGCCATTATAGTGAGAAAGCCATAGGCCACACATAAAGGAATGAGCATGACTATGTTCCAATAAAACCTTATTTATTTATGGACACAAATTTGAATTTCATATCTTCATGTGTCACAAAATACTGTTCTTTGATTTTTTTTCAACCATTTAAAAATTTAAAGTCTTTTCTTAGATCAGTGGTCATATAAAAAGAGGCAGCAGGCCAGATTTGGTCCACAAGTTGTTTGCCAACCCCTGAATAAGAAAGAAAAAAAAGCCTAGAAAAAGAAGTCAGAAAATTATTCATTAACTGTATATAAACTTCTGTGATAAAAATCTCTCTTCCTCTTCCACTTGAGGTACCCAGCTATGACAGCTCTGTAATATATAAATGTCCCTGGATTTTCTAAGATTATCATGAACACTGGATATCCAGTAGTATTGTAAGAAATGGAGGGTTTCTGGGAGATATAAGCTGTGTGTCTTTTGTCCTAGTGGTAGGATACCAGATTCTTGGGGATAGAAAGAGGGATAACAAAACCTTAGATGACAAATTTGAAGGATCCCACAGGAACTTGAGGCCATTCATGGCTCAGGGAGGAAAAGGATCAGAATTGGTCTTTGTAAAGAATCTTTTCTAGCAGTTATTATTTAAGAGTGGGTGTTCCCTTATCTAATTTGATTAGAACCAAAACTTGGGAAGCATATAAAAATGATTCTTACAAATCTTAAAGTTTTTATTATAATTCAGAACGTGCACATTCATTTTTTTTTTCCCACAGAGCTGAGATTTTTTTCTTTAATTGTAGGTCACCTAAGTAGAGTTCCACTTTTACACCTATAATGTAGTATAAAGCAGTTCTGGTGCTAACTGTCCTGATTTTGTGCAGACTCCACAGGTTAAGGCACAATTCCCAACACTTGAGATACAGCTGCAATTTCAGGGTTCTCCAGCTGGCTACCAATGCAGAGGATTGCCACGACCCCACACTGAGGTTCAATAATTCACTAGAATGACTCAAAGAACTCCGAAAGTGCTGTACTTAGGATTACAGCTTTATTATAAAGGATACATAGAGTGCAGTCTGAGAGGATTCTGAATGTAAGGTTTCTGTGTCCTCTCCCTGGAATCAGGACATGCCACACACACCCCCACATCAATGTATTCACCAACCAGAAAAGTCACCTGAGCCTCAGTGTCCAAAGTGTTTTTTGTTGCTTCGTTATCGTAGGCATGAAGTGATTGAATCATTGACCACATGCTTGAGCTCAGTCTTTTACCCAATTTTCCCCTGAGTTTGGGCTGACTCAAAGCCCCAGTCCTCATGATTTTTGGTCTTTCTGGTGACCCCTCCCCTGATCTGAGTCATTTCATTAGCAGAACTCAAGTGTGATCCAAAGGGGTCATGGATGATACTCCTGTTAACTTGGTGAATTCCAAGGATTTAGTCTCCGGCTCAGGAACTAGGTACAAAAGCCAGTCAAATATTTTGTTATGCAATAATACTGATAATGCATTGTTAATTTCCTATTTCCATTTCTTTAAAGTGGAGTGAAGGATACTTGTGAAACATTCTGAGAACAGAATCCTCACTCTCCCAATCTCTGGTGTTTATTTTGCTCACAAATGACAGCAGTTGTTTTAGTGCCTCATCTTTTTACTTTCAGAACTACTTAGTTTTCATAACTCTCTCTTTCACTGTCATAACTCTCTGTTTCACTGACTCACATAATATTTATATTTAATTTTTTAAATAATCAAACCATTTAATCTTTATAAGACATTCATTTGGTGTAATGGGTTTGGGGAACAAATACAGTTTTAAGAGTTACTCGTGAGGGACTGGCCACAAGTGTTTTGTTGTGCTGCTGTAAACATAAGTAAGTATGTGCTTTGCAGAGGGAATGGAGAGTGTAGTTATTTTGGTGAGTCGGTAAAGAAAAGGTGTTAGAATAGCCTCTACTCCAGAACTTACTTGACCCTGATAGGACGTCCTGAATTGTTTATTTTTAATAGATCTTCCAGTTTCTCCAGCTACATCATAAGCCCTTTAATTATTAGGTCTGTTTTACAAATTGCCTGCCTGTCACAGAGCCCTGTGTACAGTTAGAGCTCAATAAATGCTGATGATAATCATAAAGTAATAAATATTTTTAAATTAAATAGGACTTAAAGAGATGTAGACCAATAAATGATGTTTTACAGATGAGAAAGATAAGTACCAAGGGATTTAATAGCTTACTTAAGATTACCTGATTTAAACAGAAAATGAGGAAATAGGATTTGTGGAATTACTCATTTTTTACAAGCCAGGCAATGGACTTGACACTTTGTATATATCCTGTTAACCTTGAAAATAAAGGTCATTCATTTTACCAGCAAAAAATGGGTCTATTCGGGAATGCAATTTGAGACATGCAAGCTACAGCAAAATCATAGGCAAGTTTGCTTCTCATCGGCTGAGTTGTGACAGTTTGTCATTGGCTGGGCTGTTACCGTAATGGAAACCTTCCTTCCTCCTGCTGGGTAATAAAGTAGCCAAAATAGCCCGCAGTTGTAAAGTGTCTTTCCTGGTGGGGTCTGGAATATATGAGGCCTTAGAGCTCCCCCTGCTGGCCCCCTGACTTCACTTTGGTGAGGTTTCCTTTTCTTAATTCTCACAGTCCTCCTTCAGTTCACTTAAAAATCCAGTGAGATAGATGCTACTATATCCCCTTTACCATTGAGGACATTGAGGCCTAGGAGACTCAACTTGTATTCATTTGAGTGACTACCATGAGACAGGCACTGGCTGGGAACAGAACACTTTAGTAAGACAGTTGCCTTTGTGCAGACTCTAGTACACACCCACCAAAAGGAGACCTTGACTGAGGAGCTATGAAGGAGAGTGGAGAGTGCTCTCTAAGAATATTCTGACAGCACAGTCACTACTGAAAAAACTAAAAAAAAAAAAAAAAAAAAAGAGGAAGGGGAGGGAAGTAAAAAGATTGAGGAGTGGATTTGAGTTACAGACTTCCTCACACATATTCTTTTCATCAGTTTTTCAAAATTAGCCTCATCTCAATAATATAAACCTTTTTTTTTGAGTTTTTCTTTCAGATCAAAGATAGCAAATCTCTTTAATGGTAAAATGAAGTAAAACTTTGTTCTTAATTTTTTATGTTAATTTACTTTTTATAGATCACTACTTAATAATTTTTTAAAATTCAAACCATTTTTCCCCAAAAGGGCTTCTTACAGAATACATTGTATTTGCACATTAAAAGTCACAGGGTTAAAATTGGGCTTTCCTAGGACATTGAAAGCCTATTTCATAAAATATTTTGTTAGGAATATTAGAGTCTCTATCATAAACACAGAAATGTACTTAAGTATTTGAATGTAAAGGGAGATGCTTACATTTTGTAGAAGTAAATAAAAAGCTCACTGCTCACTGTTTCCTCAATAGGACATCAGTATTGTTTACCAGATCTTTGCAGATGAGGTGCTCGGTTCAGGCCAGTTTGGTATCGTTTATGGAGGTAAGTGACCACACAGGCTTTTGTATACTGTACAAACTAGAACAGTTGTGAAATTCAAAAACACCTGCCAGCTGTTAGGTCTTGTCACAATTTTGTCAAGTGGCCTTTTTTCAAAGGTTGACCTGCATCCTTTTAGCTAAGCCCTGTCACTTGAGTAGTCATTCGTTAATTTCATGTGCAAACTACAAAAAATAAGAATCAAGAAATTAGTGCACAATAGTGTACTTTATGTCTTCTTGTAGCTTAAACATAAACATGTTTGTGTGGGAAAAATAAATGGTTTGAAGTTCAAGATGGGCTCTGTGGGCCTGTTGATGGGATTATATGCTCTACTCACTTTCCAGCACAAATGGCACCATTTGTCTACTGTTGGCTTGAAAGTTATGTCAGGTCTGAAGAAGAAAGCTTATCTAGCTCTGTGACTTGTGATATTAACAAATCATCTAACCTCACTGGGCCTCACAATCTTCATCAGTTTATTAAAACCTGACCTGCATAGCCCACAGGGTTGTTAATACTAATGAAACCTGATGTGCATAAAAGTATTTTACAAACTGTGATCCAAGTATAAAAGAAATGTTATAGCCATGTCATCCCTTGCTAAGACTGTTAAAGTAGTCTCCTAGTTGGTCTGTATGCCTCAAGGTTTGCTCTGATATGTGGTTAAATCCCTGTGCTGACTCAGTGACCCTAGAACAAAATTAACTCATTGGTACCGTGTTTGTCTTGAGTCTCTGAAGACTGGGTCAGGGTAGCAGACTATCATTTCTTAAATATGGTAGATTATTTTTCAGCAAACAAGTTCATTCAGATATTCCTGACATTTCAAATAATGAAATAGCCATTATTAGGGGCAACTACTGTAAGGGAAGACATGATTCATATCTTAAAATTAAAGGTGAGTAAAGGAGAAAGAACAAAATGAGCGAAAGAAAAGAAGTGCACGAGTAAATACATACAATTTACAAGTCTGTGGACAACTTGCTAGTAAAGGAAGTATTGTATGTGAGCTATCAATTTGCTTTTTTCTTTTCTATATATTTTTTTAAATAGGAAAACATAGGAAAACTGGAAGGGATGTAGCTATTAAAGTAATTGATAAGATGAGATTCCCTACAAAACAGGAAAGTCAACTCCGTAATGAAGTGGCTATCTTACAGGTAAAAAACAAAGTTGCTTTGTACTCATTTTTTTTGATTTGTGAGTTTTGAAATGCAAGCCTCTTAGTGTGCTGTTAAGATTTTACTTGGTTTTGTTTTGTTTTCATCTTAACGACCTTCTGACTTAGTGAGAGGCTGATGAGCATCTGAATTTAACTCTAGTTTTTGGTTTTGTTTTTTTTTTCTATAAAAAAGGCAAAGTTAGACTGCTGTAATCTGGAAGTTACAGGGACTGCTATTATGATAGTAGTTTGTTTAGAACAAGTTTTCACAAGTAAAATCTTCACACACTCCAAAAAAAGTAAAATTTCACTCTTCAATTGTCACTCCAGAGGCTCCTAATACTGATAACTTCTACTCCCACGTTTCATCAGGTCAATTTTGTGCCCTTCCAGTTCTCAGATGTGCTTGATTATCATAGCAATTACTATAAAAATAAAGACCACTTAAAATTGTATACCTTTTAACAGTAGCATTTGTTATCATGTTAACTCAAATTTTAAAGATTCAATTTTATAATGGTTTAACCCATTAAGGTATATTTCTAAAGTTTATCAATAACTTAAATTCCATAAAATAAATCACTATGTATTTTTATCTTCATTTGACATTTTTACCTCTTTTGGGGGTCCTTTAGACTAAAATTTAGCTTTATCTCAATCTGAATACCATATAATTTATATGCAAATATCTATTAATTCATTGTGTAACTTGCATAATTAAGAAATCGTGGTGATATAATAGTTAATGCTGTCAGCACCATTTGCTTGAGTGAATTTCAAGAGAACACAACCTACTGAAATTAATGCTTCCTTGAAGGTAAGAAACTTATAAACACATAATTAATTTTACATGTTGCATTATTGGTCACTAGTAGTAACATTTGCCTCACTTCTTTTTCAGTGGAATGATAATCAAAAGATTGTGGTCTACATGGTACTTGCGGTCACTTCAAGTCTGCCTCCTCCTATAAAGCTACTTCTAAATATAGAAGTATAATTATACTTCTAATTGTAAATAGAATATTAATAATAAGCATTCAGACTTTGTATTAGGATGTGAATATATTGTTAGAGATCCTTTTTCATACCTAATTTTGGAATCTCTGTTGTTGACCTAATAGGCAAAAAAATAAATATTAAGGATATATTCCTAAGGCTTGACTTCTCATCACTTTGATCACAACTATGAACTAAACACTGAAGCTTTTTCTCCTGTGTTCTGAACTATGGATCATAACAGCTACATTTAGGAATTTCTGTGTAATGCACAATATGAAAACTTTTATTTCCTTCTGGCTATTTTCATTGCCTAACTGGAAATACAGTCAAGTGATTGTAGTGTCTCCTACTATTTTCATCTAAAATTTAATACCATGCTCTTTGTTGTAGATTCTCTTCAGATTGTTTATATACAAATTTATATTTTTGTAATTAGTGAGTGGCTTACTTTGTGCCAGAAACTAAGTCAGTACTTTTTCTCAACATCATCCAGCAGGAAAATGGCAGGTTCATAGTTTGAATCGAAGTCTGTCTCCAAACCGCATTTTTCTATTCCACTACATTGGACCTATTTGTGTTTGTGTATGTACCCACGTTATGTAAAGTTGTGGTTGAAAGGAACTTAGTGTCCGTACACTCACTCATACCACCCTTTGGTTCCCCATTTCCCATGCCATGTATACTCTTTACTTTCCCATCCTTGTCCTGAGTTCTTTTATATAGTCCCCATCAAGCAAACCTAAAAGGCTAGCTGAACCTGGCCTGGTAGTTGATCCTGGTACTATCCTCTTCATCTGCAGCTTCATTGACATCCATAATTTTTATTCCCAGGTGTACATCTTTATAAAGAAAAGGAAAAACTAAGCATATTATTGAGACCACAGCTTTGTCTTTCTGGTGACAGAAAGGAAAAATGATAGAATCACTGATTTAGAAATGACCTTACAGTTTACCCAGGAATATCTAGCCTCTTTCCTGAGCACTTGATAAGCTATGTATTTCGGTTTTAATAGAACTGAGGACATGACATTTTTGGACATCTGTGCTTATTCTTTATTAGACTGAACCAATATCTCTTGAAAAAGGTTCCATTGCAGACACCACCCTCAAGAAATAGTCTTTTTTCTAAACCATGGCCACACTGACTTTCTTGCCTTCAAACACTCCAGGTAGAATCCTGTCTGAAGGACTCTGCACCAGGTATTCCCTTTGCCTGGGATGCTGTCCCCCTTCAGGGTCTGCACGGCATAGTCCCTTATCTCCTTCAAATTTTGCCCAAATATCATTTCTTCAGTGAGGCCTTTACATTCTGTTCAGCATCAAACCCACCCCCTCTACTCCTGTACTCCTTTTTCTCTAGAGCACTTATCACCTCCATATTAATTTAATTAATTTGTTAGCTTATTACCTCTTGTCTGTCTCACCTTGCTAGAATTAATAAGTCCATGAGACAAGATATTTGTCAGCTGCTTACTGATGAATTCAGACTACATAGTACTAGGCACACAGCAAATACTCACTTAATATTTATTGAAAACGTGTTTGTGTGGGAAATTATAATTTTAAAATTTTTTAATGGAATTTTCCATTTCTGTAATTTCTTAAGGTAATGTGTCATTTATGTGTGTGTATATATATATATATATATATATATATATATATATATGATTATGTATAGAAAAGAATTCATACATAAACCTACATATAAACATAAACCTACATGTAAACATGGCCACCTCTGAGGGGCATGTTGTAAGGCAGGCAAGAAATGGGGAATTTTTACTTTTGTTGCATAGAGATATAATAGTGTAAAATGTTTCTTATACTATTGCCTGAAGAGGGTAGTAGAGTAGTGGGAGAAAAGGTGTGGTGCTCTCCTGGCTACCTATGTAGGAAAACATATCAGAAACTTAAGAGCGAAATTTCAAGTTTGAAAACTGGTATATATTCAGCATTTTCCCCTTCTCTTCTCTGAAGTCACCTAAAAGCTACAAGAAATGATAAACAGAAAGGCACATACTCTAATAAAAATAGAAAAGAGTTTAGACTTATAAAATAGAAGTTGTTCAAAAACAGGGGAAGCAGAGCCACAGGTACATGCAGGAAGAGTCACCACAGTAAGAGCTCTCTTTGCTGCCTCTTTCTGAGATCTACAATTGTGATATCTTCTCCAGGTGCCTTCTCAAACAGAAAAAGGCCAAAGTGGTCATGTTCTGCTAAGATTCAATTCAAGGGAAAACCTGTTATGTGAATTGAAGAAGGGCATTTTAGCAGTGGACAAGTGCAGATCACACCATACCAAGTAACAGCATCACCATTTATAAAGAAAAAGTTGAAATGGTACTAAGAGAAACAGACATGCACATCAATAGTCCCCGCCAGAGGAAGGAGGCAAAGCTAAGAACAAAGGCCTAAACAGCATAAGGCAGATCTAACCACTTTATACTGAACTCTGGACCCTAAAAACAAGGAGCAAAGAATGCTTCATTAGTTCAAAAAAGGGAGTAGTATAAACAGTATCTTTGATCTTACTCCAATAAAAGTAAATTACAAAATCAGAAAATAGAAAACTCCCACCACCTGAAAAAAATTTTTTGTATCAATTCTTGCATCAAAACAAAATCAAGATTTCAAGATAGCTATTTACAAAATTATGAAAATACTGTGTAGCAGCTCCTGGACTCTCAGACTATTGCTTGGAAAAAACACTAGTCTCAAATATTTAAAAAAGAAAGAATGAAAATAAAGAAATTAATCCAACTCAAGAAGTTAAAGAACAAATAATAAACCTAAGGAAAACAAACGATTAACAAACATAAAAATGGACATCAATAAATTTCATACATAAATTCAAATGTTGGTTCTCTGGAGGCTGGGATAAAAAAATAGGCAGACTACCTAATGAAAAAATAAGAAAATATGTCTTCAGAAAATGATCACAAATACTGAAAAAATTTAAGAGAATCTTAGGATACTATCTTGGGCAACTCTATCAGATAAATTTGAAAACCTGGGAGAAATGACTCCCTATGAAAAATAATTTAACCAAAACAAGACTTCAGTGGAAATAGGACATATAAACAAAAGAAGTTTTCTGAGAGGAAAAGAATGTTAGAGCATACTGCTATTTTTGTTTGTGTTTTTAAAGGCAGGCAGGGGGGGAAACTTCAAGAAAGAGACAACTATAACAGGAGATGCCACACTTCCAACTCTAAGCTGATCAAATTTATGACATTGAGTCTTGCACTGCTTACTGCTATTACCATACCCTTCCACTGTGAAGTATTTCAACTTCATTTACCTAAATGAAATTGTGTCACTTTTTATTTTGTTATTTGGAGCACCATGTCATTAAATGTTTAAACTGATTAATAACTAATATTTATTTTGCACTTGCTATTTTCTAAACATTTTTAAAACACCATGATTGAAACTTTGAGCTAAAATGACTAAGATAAAGTCTCAGGGAATTTATTAGGTTACAGAGTAACATACATACACATATACAGTTCCATGGGGTAAGTATTGCTCCTATTTAGTGTGGAGTGGGAACTATTGCAGTAGTCCCAAGAGAGGTAAAGTGACCTACAATTGAGGCAGTTAAGCTACAAGTGGAAATTGAGAGATGATGGTAGACTCAAAAACCATTTTAGGGATGGAACTCAACCTCACATAGGCCAAGTGAAGTATTTACATTTATTTCCAGAAATAGACGTTTTTCAGCATGACTGACTTCTCAAATTTGTCTTTCAGGAGGGTTCCCCCTCTCCCACTAAGATAGATTCCTTTATTAGCAGAAACAGTACCACATTCATCTTTTTGTTTCTCCAACCTTGGTAACATAGTAGTGCTCAAGAAACAAGAAACATGGGATGATGGAGGTAAAGAGATGCTGAGCCTAAAAGAGGGAAGACCATATTGAGGTATAATAGGATGAGAATCAAGACTTAGCTAACTAAGTACATTAAAAACAAAACCATCTCTTGAGTAAAGATCTTCATAAATAGAGCCCCAAAGAGCCAAAGCTCTGTGTAATTGGCTAAACTTTGGTTGGTAATTGGTACCTATTCATGGATAACAGAAAATTAGTGTCAGAAAACTAAAAAAGATGAAAAGGGAAGGAAAGAAATAGAAATGAACAAAGGCAGTTAAATCATCAGTTGGGCATGACAGTCCCCTCAGTTGCATCCACTCTCCAGTACAGAACTTGGAAAACCAGAGTCTACGATGGTTTTTATTATTGGCTTTTATCATTTATTTTTCTAAGCTGTTTTTTTTTTCCTGTGGCATGTATTCTATACAATTAATTGTAGCACACTATAAGATACTTGCATAGTAAAACTATTTCTTTACTTAAGTTGATCATATAAATACCCTGCAACTCTTCAGAATTTGCACCACCCTGGGATTGTAAACCTGGAATGTATGTTTGAAACCCCAGAACGAGTTTTTGTAGTAATGGAAAAGCTGCATGGAGATATGTTGGAAATGATTCTATCCAGTGAGAAAAGTCGACTTCCTGAACGAATTACTAAATTCATGGTCACACAGGTATTTTAACTATTTTTGAACCTAGAGAATAATTAAAAACAAAGGATTACATAACAATGCTTTTACATACCAGGATTTTGTGGGACTTGTTAACCTTGAAGAAGAGAATAACACTTTTAATTAAATGTTGATGAACTGTAGTGAAGTTTTCAAATTACTAAACCACCTCAAGGGGTCAGACTGGGGTTTAACTATGATTTTTCCAGGTATTGAAAAATTTGTTTTCTTCAATAACAGATACTTGTTGCTTTGAGGAATCTACACTTTAAGAATATTGTGCACTGTGATTTAAAGCCAGAAAATGTGCTACTTGCATCAGCAGAGCCATTTCCTCAGGTGAGATACTCTCCAGAACTTAAGTATCTCTGTCAGTCTTACTAAGTACCTACTTAATCAAAGGCAGTACTATCAGTCCAAATACGTAACGATCTTATGAAATAGTTTTTAGCCTGTAACTGCCTGTAAGGATTAAGTACCTGAATAGTTTGAATTCAGGTTTTACTAATTATATAGTTTATTTTCATCAAGATATTTTAGACTTAACCAAATTGTAAGGAATAACTTCTTATGTGTAGACTGTTTGCAGTTCACCTGTCCCTATGGAATAGGACTGAAGTGGGGAGAAACATCCTTGGTTGATGCTTGGTACTCAGGACAAATTACCTGTAAAATAAAAATGAGGGGTAACCCTGAAATGCGAGATACTAGATTTTGGTTGAGGCAGACAGCCAATTCCTCTTCCTCTTTCGAGTACACTGTATGTGTGAGTTACATTGCCCATTGCTAACAGCATTCACACATGTATGAGAATATCATGACTGTGTGTGTCCTGTGTGTGATGCACTAATTTTGTTTTTTACATGGTTAAAATTCATTTCATTGAAAAGTGTTGATCCAATGTTATTTCATAACCTAATCATGGCTCATAACCCAAAATTTGAAAAGCTGCCCTGAGGAATATATATTTGTACCTGTGAGTGTTTCATGATGGTCACTGATGAATCCTCCAATCAGCTAGAATATCTGTTGCCAAACTTGTTCATGTAAATTTAAAACATGCTCAATTAGACAAATGCCTAGACTAAGGACAACAGGTACATTTCACTTGGTATATAAAACTCAAATTGTCTTTCAAAGTAAAATGTATTTTTGAAAATTATTCAACTCTTTTACACTTAATGAAATAATCTGTTATTTTTTTTTTATAATGCCTATGTGTTTAAAAGTGATTCATTATTGTGAGGTCAAAATGGGTTTCCTGATCATTGGTACAGTGTTTTAAATAAAGTGCTTCCATATATGATTATCTCATTTGATCTTCAAAATAGTATGGGCAAAGGATGCACACCCCTACACATAAAGGTAATCCCTCCAGCTTTCTGACCTCCATTAGAAACAGAGGGAAAATAATGTCATTTACTTGATAGTCATTTTTGTTTAAGTGCTAGCCTTTGACACACTTCTTTATTCATTCACCAAACTGTAAAGTCATCTTTACTTTACCAAGTGTCAAGATGTTAGCTGAAATATAACAATAAACGAGTTCACATGTCTTCATGGTCAATAATCCTATTCTCCAAATACTCAGAGAAGTAGCCAAATTCAATGATGACATGGGGTAATAAAATCATAGACACACGATGAGGATCCATACACCAGAAATAGCAAGTGGCATATGAATACACCTTCGTCTTTGCTCTCCAGTCACTATTCGTACAACTGATTTGTAGAAGCCAAATCTGCCCTCTCTCAGTTTATCGTAATGCTTTTTGTGAAGACATTTTGTAAGTCTGGGCATTTTCTCCAGAAGTATTGGCATTTGCTTGTTAAGCATGGATGCACTGTTAATTATCACAGTCTAAACCTCTACTATAAAATGGTCACAAGCTCTGCCAAGCTCATCATACTTCCAGAACCCTTTTCCCAAAAGGACATGGTAGTGACTGGCTACCTTCAGATTCTGTATAACTTTTTTCAAACTTAAATATCTAACTGGCATGGTTTGTTCCATAGTCACAGAAAACACTGCTACTCTTGTTCTTCAAGCACATTGTAGCATTACTCTTCTCCTGGCCATATTAACAACTATCTGAATGCAGCTTAATTTCACTTGTCAATTTATAGTATACTTGGGAAGACAGATTCTAGGATTATGCAACATAAACGGCAAGTTTTTAAATACTGTAACTTATTTTTCAGTAAGCTAACATTTGTTTAGTACTTTAATATCTCAGTGATATGAGGCCACTGAGGATTCAAAAATTTAACACAATTCCTCATAACAAGTGACAGAAAAGTGATCTCCTTCAAAGCCAAATGATAAAAGAGCAGTGCTCTCCCTTTCATCAAAGACTTTGAGCACTTACAGCACCAGTCTGTTAATCAGCATTCTGGAAACTAGAATTCAAGTTTATTGTTTTTTTAAATAAGCACTAGGAGAGCTCTTCATCCACTGCTATGTTAGTAATGGATCACAGGGCTATAATGTATAAATGTCTTTGGGAAAAGCTATTTTATAATTTGCCTTTCTACAATCATTTGACATTCATAATCTATATAGCTGGTATGTTGAAATGATACTGTATCATTTTGGGACAGGTATATATACATAGATTAATATAGAGAGAGTATATAAAGTTAACATTATCCTTTCACTTCCAGGTGAAGCTGTGTGACTTTGGTTTCGCACGCATCATTGGTGAAAAGTCATTCAGGAGATCTGTGGTAGGAACTCCAGCATACTTAGCCCCTGAAGTTCTCAGGAGCAAAGGTTACAACCGTTCTCTAGATATGTGGTCAGTGGGAGTTATAGTCTATGTGAGCCTTAGTGGCACATTTCCTTTTAATGAAGATGAAGACATAAATGACCAAATCCAAAATGCTGCATTTATGTACCCACCAAATCCATGGAGAGAAATTTCTGGTGAAGGTAAAACTAAGTTTTAGCTCTGACGTTTTGTCTAAAAATCTGTCAGCCTGTCTCTTCTGGCTTCTCTTTTCAGTATCTCCCATTCCTCTTCCAAATTCAACTGATTTTCAGTTTTTGATTGGTACTCTTCTTTTGACACTGTCTTTTCTCTATCTTCTTTACAGTTCCCAGGCATAGCACAAATCCAGGCCCCAATTGCCTCTTCTTGAAACTACTAGATTATCAGTTTTAACTGTTCTACCCATTAAACTCTCTTTTTGGTCCTTCCCAGTAACTGCTGCCAAACCCATCTTCAGTGGATCAACCTACCTTCATTCTGCTCCCAAGCATTTTGGCTTCCCTTTAACCACTCTGCAGTTGTGGTCTCTGTGATGAGGCACAAGTTTGCTTAGGTCTTTCCCCTGCCTGTAGTCACTGCTCTTCCTCGCCTTCCAGTCCTTCAAGGACCCCTAAACTTGGGATTCATCTATGAAGTCCTCCCTGAACCCCTCTTCTAATCTACAAATCAACTTAGGCTACTAATCTTCAGAACCAACTGTAAGCTCCTGAATGGTTCAGGTTCTTTTTATCTTTATAATATAAATATATTTCATGTATGATATAAATATAATGAGCTTTATATTCAGTAGACACGCTCCTGTTTTCAGGTGTCCTTAGGACCACTACTGGAGAACTTCACACATTAATTTTCATGCTAGGTTCTATACCCATCAAGAATTACTTGGTTGGCCCTCTTTTGTTTACTGAGACTGATAGTTAAAAGAGTGTATCACTTAAGAGAGTCCCATAGAATTTAATAGAACTGCTGTTGGGGAATACACCCACCTGGATTTAGTTTTTGTTTTTCCAAAGTACCAGACCCTAAAGTATTTATAGTCTATTGAACTCGGAACACTGTGAGAACAACGTGTAAGAACAGTAGCAGGCTTACTTGGTAAATGAACAGAGCTAATTGAAGAAGTATATATGAGGGTTTTTGGATGTTACCAAAGTCATCTCAGAGCTCCTAGAGCAGTATGATATGATCTGCAGACCTCATATCAGAATCACTTAAAAGAAGAACCCATGGCTATATCCCAGGGACTCAGATTCACTGACTGGAATGATAGCCAGAAGTGGATTTTAATAAATACCCCAAATGATTCTGATGCATCAGCAGGTTCACTGTTTAAGTAATGGAGGATAAAAGTTTGAACTATTTGGAACATGCAAATTCATAATTAAAATATTAATGTAAAATCTCTGCTAATTTGGTGGTATATAGAAGTGGAACTAGTGTAATGGAACTCTTTCATTCGACTCATCACTGGGTGCAGGCCTTAGCATCAATATTTCAAGTGTATATATAGGGTTATTGTCAGTATGTAGTTAGTCCATATCTTATTTATTTTCAAATAAATGGGTAAAATATGTGTGCCAAGATCTCACCACATAGACCAAAACACTATGAACTTATTTGCTAAAACCTATTGAAATAAACTTTTGGTAATAAGCTCTATCTAACCACGTCTGTAGAGGCAAGGTATAATGGCTTTGACTACTTAATCCAGACCAAGTCAGAGACTACAGAACAATACAGTGTCATTGGAGGGAGAGAAAAGAAAAACATCAGTCTGTAATCAGTCTGTCTTACTCATCTTAAAGTAGTAGTTTATTCTTACTTAGCACTTAGCTCCTCCATGCCTTTCACATGTAATACTTGTTTCATCCTCTCAACCCCATTTTACAGATGAGGAAACTAAGGCACAATATGGTTTACTAACTCACCCCATAGCACACAAAGTGGCAGAATGACTTAAGCCTAGGCAGGGGGCTTCAGAATCTACACTTTACTCTGTACTGCCTCCCCAGTAAAACAGGTACACTTAATAAAATAGGTACACTACAGTTAAGTATTTATGGATCATTAAAGACCATGTCTTTGAGAAGCAAAAATCCTCAACCCTGTGTTTACATGGATTGAACTGCCTTCCTGATAGTCACAGGTTTGAGGTGCTCCACACACCCAAATTCATGTACCTAATTTTGTCTTGTCCCTTAGCAATAGATTTGATAAACAATCTACTTCAAGTGAAGATGAGAAAACGTTACAGTGTGGACAAGTCTCTTAGTCATCCCTGGCTACAGGTAAAAAAAAAGTCTCTGGTGATCCTCATTTGTGTATTTCATTGTGATTTGTCTTACCTAAAGAAACCACTCTCTATGGTCAACAGACTCTATACATCTTAGAATAATGTACGTGTCCTGCAGTGACTAATTTGTGCTGCAGCTGAATCTCTGGAAGTTTTACAGTATACCACTCAAATGCCAAACTGATAGGCAGTTCAACTCCCATAAATTGAAAGCAATAATACAGCTTTTTATAGGGCCTTTTGCTTCATCTCATCTTTGTATAAGATAAGCATGACTTATTTTAAGTCCACTAAAAAGTTTGTATTTGTACTGAAGTTATCAGAAATGCCAATTAAAATGTTTGCCTTAGCCAAAAGCTATTGCACAGATTTGTCAAAAGATGCCCCTAACTTCAGAATAAAGAGGAGCTTTAGAACTATTTTAAAGGGAGTGCAGAGTAGAATTAACATCAAAGCAAATGCAATTATAGTCTCCACTATTATTTAATTATCCTGATAATAGCTTGTAAGCACTCTCCCTTGTTTTGGGAACATAATAAAATGTTTTGGTGATTAACCACCTCAGAAGCCTGAAGCAATTTTTAAAAAAATTTTAGAAACTAGTTACTTTGTTCAGAGACTCTGAATTTGAAAAAGTATTTATCTTTAACACCGCTAATTTAAAATATTACAAATGGAACTTATTGTATAGCAAGTACTGATGAGTAGGGGTTGTTGGTTATGACTAGGATGTTAAGCAAAAAAAAAGGTTGACTGTATTTTGTTTCCTTTGTGGTTCATAATCACTGCATTTTTTTCTAGGACTATCAGACTTGGCTTGACCTTAGAGAATTTGAAACACGCATTGGCGAACGTTACATCACACACGAAAGTGACGATGCCCGGTGGGAAATACATGCATACACACACAACCTTGTATATCCAAAGCACTTCATTATGGCTCCCAATCCAGATGATATGGAGGAAGATCCTTAATGATCAGTGAACTAACTTCCATAAGGAAGGACTTCATTTTATGGACTGATGTTTTGTTGTACAACTGTTGTTCTTTATAGGTTTTCATCTGCAAGGTTGCAAAGACATGAGGAAATATGATAAGGAATCAGTGACACCAATACTGTAGTTCATAGTGAGTTGGTACAAGAGGGGAAATTGAGTAATAAGAACACATGGAACCAGGATGAAGCTTTTCATAAATTTTTATAACATAAGCAATAGTTGGTTTCTGTATTGTTTCCTAATCTTTCACTTTAGTACAGTAGTGGCACTTAATTTATCTTCTTTCCTATTACATTACTTTTTTTAAAAAAGGAGGAAAAGACTTGACCCAATCATACAGGAGTTGTAAGGTTGGTTACTAAACAGGTTTGCATTTAAGAGATAACTGAGAGGCTATAAGCATGCAATTTCCTATGAGGTCTTTTTTGTTTAACCATAGAGGCATTGAAGGGTTTTCCTAGATCTCTAGAAAAAGAGTGCTGAACTGTTTTACCTTCATTTTTTAAAGGCCAGTCAATGATCCCAACATTTTTGGAACTGAAATTCTATATATGCTCTCTACAATGTAAAAATTAAGTTATCAACTCTTGTGAGTATATTGCAATAGCCTCCAAGGAATTGGGATACTGATGTTACAAAACGAGGAGTAGGACCCTGCTGGTCTAAGTGCTGTGTTATTTATACGTAATCTGCTCATAGCTCAACTCTGCTACTAAGTACCTTCCCACTGACACCACTGTGATGCCACAGTTGGATCCTAACATTCAGTGGGTATAGACCTAAATTTTAATTACACATAGAGTTGAATACTTTGAAGAAAAATATATCCTAAAAGGGCAGCACACAGTCAGCTAATGCTACAGGAAAGAATGCAAAGAGTATCCTTTTTTTCTTCTTTTAGCTTATTGGAAGGCTTTGCAGGTATCTGCAGTGATTTTAAGTCATTTTAAGCAGTCTGGGGGAATGGGTGGGATGTAACATGAAACAGTTTATCAGGATGAGGCTATATTATTAGCAGAGCAAATGAAAGAATAAGTTGGGTTTTTTTTTTTTCAGCTCCAGTAGCCAGCTAAAGAATTTTTTTTTCTACTGATTTATAATATTTAAGAGTTTAAACTTTTTCATAGCTTTTAAAGAGTTACTAATAGTTTTCATCAAAAAAAGTCTAAGATCTGCAACCATCCACTTATAAAAACTCTAGTGGCTTTTGTTTCTTCATTCCCCAGTAATCATTGTAAACTTTTTTTTTCCTCCAAAAAAGAGCAAATGATTTGGAGTCAGAAAGTCTGGTTTTAAGTCTTGGCTCCTGTTCCTTACTAACTGTGTTGGCCTGAACAGTTGACAGTCCTGAGTCTCGAGTTCTTTAATCTATAAAATGAAGATTGTAATTCTTGCCTCTCCCTTCCTTATAGTGTTATGAAGGTATGTTTGAACAAATGCAATAAACTAAAACCGATGGAAAGTATTACCTAAAATTCCATGGGCAGTATTGTTATCAAAGGAGAAGAATGTTCTTGAATACAAAGACGAATATTAGACTGAGGGGGCCTTTACAGATCTCTAAAGCTACTCATTATCCAGGACTAAACATATCCTTGAGAGAGAGAGTAGAGGCAAACATGTAGTCCTACAATGGCCTGAGCTCTTTACATGTTTAGCTTTTTCTCATATCAACCATGGAGTAAGTGCATCATGAACCCCATCTCACAGATAAGGAAACTGAGGCAGAGGGGATTATGTAACCAGCTGAAGGTCACACCGTATGTGGATCTGGATGCAGGCAGCATGGCTCTGGAGTCCATCTTACCCCTCCTAACCATTTTGTCAGACTGCCTACCCATAAATATTTCCAGATTTTTCCATAATGCCTATGATTTCATTCTCATACAGGAGTTTTAAAAATTAAACCAAATTAATTTTGTAAAACCTTTTAGAAATTTATTTTCCCTGTGATAGAGGACAACTTTCCTGAACTTCTCCAAAGTAAGTCTTAATATCATTGTGCTAAAATGGAGTAATTTTGAGTCATTAGGCACCCTATGGTAGTTTTGCTGCATATGGTAAAAATTAACTGGAATGATGTTTGCTATACTTACATAATCAAACTTCACAAGCCATGAAATTAATTGCACTCTGTTTTTGTTGTTGAATACCCAAGAACTTCTCTAAAGAAATTTGTAAAGGCACTGTCAGGTAATTTGGAGTTGAGTTACTCCAGGTAACTGTACAACCTGTATAACCTTTTTTTGTCTTGAAGTTGTATTTGTATAAGAAATAACTGTTAGAAACATTTGATAATGTACAAAGAAGTCTGTAATGACACTGTTCAGTACATTTTTATATTTTTTTGTTACATCCCACTTTTTGTAAATATCCTCATAGAAGCTTGATAATAAAATGTATTTCCATATCACTATAACTTTTCCATATGAAAACCTGAGCCCATCTCCAGTAGAGGTATCCAAAGAAAATTTTATTTGCTGTGTTATTTTCCCAGACTTTGGTTAAGAGAACTATTTTGGAAATAGTATTTGTAAATGAAACTAATGCTATATTTAAGAACAATGATTTTTTTAACTGCCTAAAATAAAAAACAACTCATTATTACAATTTTATATGAAATTTTAGGTAATTATCGGGAGGTCTTATTTCTGGGAATAAACATTTAAATACTTTCAGACACTACCATCAAATACTCAACTATTGTAACTGCCAGATGACTTGAGTCAGTCAAATACCTAATTTCAAAGTCAATTTTCTAGGTTTTTAAGAAATAAGGCATTGCCTGCCTCCTTCCCCTTAATTATGAAAACTACCAAGTAATTAGGGCACTTTCGTCATCCAGAAATTCTCCCAATCAAGTCTTTGAAAAAAGAAAATAAAAGCAGAAATAGAATAAGGGTGTCTAGGAACGGCCAAAGGTTGGGCAGCCTCTGATAAACAAGCTTCCCTCTTCCTATAGAGAGAGAGATAAAACGCTAGTCCTGTTCCCAGTACTAAGTCAAGCAATAAAAAGTGAGTTTATCACTCTGCCAGTGAGCTTCCTAAACAGTTAAGCTATAAATAAGCTCAAGACACAGGGTTAATATTCTTTAATTTGTGTTGCTAGTAAGACAATTCTTCGGAAAGTCCATGTGTCTGGTATTAACATAAAAGTTCTGTGAACCAAAAAATGAGAACTTACAGGAAACTTGATATAAGGGAGAATTAGCTCAAATTAGAAAGTTACTCTTCCTAGGTAGTCTACTACATGTTATTAGGTTTACTGGTTTACTGTGATGTTTAATATTTTAAAATTTTGTCTTTAATGATAAAATTCACAGAAGCATATGGTTAAACATTCAAATGCCAAAGAGAATAAATAAGTTTCTTCCCACCCCTCTCAAACTCACCTCCAGATTGGGATATTTAATAGTAATTATTGGGCATTCTTTCAGTTTTTTGGTTTTTTTTACTGTGTTTCTTTTTGATGTCAGTACTAAACAGTTACATGAGCAACATTATGGTTATGAGCAACATTATGGTTACTAGACTCCCCCCATTATCAAGTACCCACCACACACCTCATACGAGTCACTGTCCATCAGCCTAGTAATATGCTGTAGAATCACTACTGTTCTTCTCTGTGTCATACTGCCTTCCCTGTGCCCCCACTACATTATGTATGCTAATCATAATGCCCCATTTCCCCCCCGTATCCCTCCCTTCCCACCCATCCTCCACAATCACTTTCCCTTTGGTAACCATTAGTCCATTTTTGAGTTCAGGGAGGCTTCTACTGTCTTGTTCCTTCAGTTTTTTCTTTGTTCTAATACTCCACAGGTGAGTGAAATCATTTGATACTTGTCTTTCTCTGCCTGGCGTATTACACTGAGCATAATACTTTCTAGCTCCATCCATGTTGTTGCAAATGGTAGGATTTATTTTCTTCTTATGACTAAATAATATTCCATTGTATACATGTACCACATCTTCTTTATCCATTCATCTACTGATGGACACTTACATTGCTTCCATTTCTTTTGTACTGTAAATACTGCTGTGATAAACATAGGGGTGCATATGTCTTTCTCAAACTGGGTTCCTGCATTCTTAGGGTAAATTCCTAGGAGTGGAATTCCTGGGTAAAATGGTATTTCTATTGTTGAGTTTTTGAGGAACCTCCATACTGCTTCCCACAGTGGTTGCACTAATTTACATTCCCACCAACAGTGTAGGAGGATTCCCTTTCTCCACATCCTCGTCAACATTTGCTGTTGTCTTTTAGATGCTGTGTGGTATGAGGTGATATACCATTGTGGTTTTAATTTGCATTTATAGGACGATTAACGATGTGCAGCATTATTTTTTGGTATAATTAATCTACAATTACATGAGGAACATTATGTTTACTAGACTCCCCCCATCACCAAGTCCTCCCCAATACCCCATTGCAGTCACTGTCCATCAGCGTAGTAAGATGCTGTAGAAACACTACTTGTATTCTCTGTGTTGTACAACCCTCCCCATGTACCCCCCCATATTATACATGCTAATCATAATGCCCTCTTTCTTTTTTCCCCCCCTTTTATCCCTCCCTTCCCACCCATTCTCCCCAGTCCCTTTCCCTTTGCTAACTGTTAGTCCATTCTTGGGTACTGTGAGTCTGCTGCTGTTTTGCTCCTTCAGTTTTTTTCTTTATTCTCAAACTCCACAGATGAGTGAAATCATTTGGTACTTGTCTTTCTCCGGCTGGCTTATTTCACTGAGCATAATACCCTCTAGCTCCACCCATGTTGTTGCAAATT